GGGAACACTTTTCGGACTCGTGTCCACACTACGTAGACGGTGACGAACGTTATGAGATGATGATCGATGAAGGAGTATGCAGATACTGCTTAGAACGTGATAAATGTAACTACGATAACACTTGTCCTTATGCTTACAAGGAGTGTTTTTACTGCAGTCGCTTAGAAGGCACCCCATTCGAGTACATGATCATAAAAGACGGTCACCACACAGCCCTCTGCAATATCCCCAATAGAAAACATGAAGCTCGCACCGAGCTAGACAAGGCAAGAGAAGAGCTCAGAGAGGTCATGACACAATTAGCGCGTAGACAGATAGAGCAAGGTAAACGCCAGGACTACAGCACACGTGCGAGAAAGGAAAGGGATGAGGAAGCAGAAAGACGACCAAGAGACTACTAACCATTTGGCGGGGGGAGTGACGACAACGTCGTCTGTGAGTATGCTAACTGTAATGGTTTGTTCATTTACTCATCTTTTCGTTATTTCATTATAATATCTTTAGTGTAGGATGAGCATATGATTTATCGATTTCATGACCATTTTCCTCTAGGCTCGACGCCCGAAAGAATGTAAGCATAAGGCGGCGGAGGAGTTAGATCGTTTGATAAGGAGCTGCGCATGTGAACCGTATATAAGCATGAGGATGGAACGTCGAGGGTTGTTGTTGGCTCAGAACGACGGCAGCTTCAATCGAGGACCGTCTCCTCCGCGTTGACTGTATTCCTTCCAAGTTATCGAGCGCGTAGACCAGTTACTTCGGCTGATATTCTTTGTGTATTCGCTGTTTAACCTTTTTCTATATCCGGCAGTTAACATTGGACGATTTGGATTAGTTTAGTGAGTTCATATAAAGGTTAATAAATATTAGTTTAATCAAGTTGATTCACTTCTTGTCTTAACCCGCGTGGCACGTATAGGAAAAAGGCGAGCGAGATCGAGTAGAAGTGAACATCAACTTTGGTGCATCGGCCAATTGGTTCAAGTGAAGGAAAGCCACTTAGTCAATTGGAGATCAATTCAGGTCGGTTCAGTTTACCTTTGCAGACGCTTTAGGAACTGAGTTACTTTACGGAGCTTTGCTTAGTGCATCCTAATAGCTTGGCTTTGGTCCAATTTGAACTTTTCTTCTCCTTTCTGTGGTTTGCATCTCGCGTACTTGTTTTTGTTCACAAGGGTGACTCATCGATTTCTTGAACGCGTAGATGGCAACACAGCTCTCCTCCCACAAACGTAGGCTGACTAATCATTGCAACAAGCTAGAAACGGCAATTTCGCGTTTCAAAAGTGAGAAATTGGAAAGTTGGCCAGAGGACATTCGTACCCCAGGTTATGAAAAAGAGTACGGTAAACGTATAAAGGAAGCCTTAGGAGCTATTGAAGCTTGTTCGTCTAAGGTAGAACAATTATGGGAGGAATATGCATGTGCTTTAGACAGGATAGAAAATGTTCCGAAGGTAGAAACCGACGACTATGATGCATATGCGAACAAAGCCGAAGGAACTCTAAATTTAGCGCTAGACTATACCGTTATCCTACGAGGTCGTTTGAGAGCCTGCACAACAGCGGATCAAGATAGATTCTCTCCTCCGCGCGTAGATGAGATGAAGGCGAGTGGGGTGGTAGGAACTCAACCAGTGGCCCTACCCACGCTGCCCATCCCAGTTTTTACGGGCAATATGTGGGACTGGGATAATTTTTGGGTCCTTTTCGAAGCTAATGTGCATACCCAACCCATTCCAACGCTTTATAAATTCAATCATTTATTGAACGCGTTAAAAGGGAAAGCACTAAACGCTATTCGACAATTTCAAATCACTGAAGAAAATTATGACAAGGCCATTCAGTTTCTTCAGACCAAATATGGAGATAAACAAGCGCTAGTTCATAAGCTTATTGAACGCTTAGAAAATGTCACCTCACATTCGCTCGCGCTCAAGGATCAACGCGTATTGTTGGAGCAACTTCAAGCGATTGTGTCCCAATTAAGAGGGAAAGGGGAGCAAGTGGACAACCAATGGCTCATGAAGCAGGTGTTAACCAAATTCCCCGAACGTTACCAAAGGAGGGTCCTAGAAAGGAAGTATTCCATGGAGGAATCCTTTCAAATGGACACGCTCCTATTGTGCCTGGATCAAGTCATTTCCACGGAGGAAAAAATTGCACTCCACACTTCCAAAACAGGGGGATATGCTCCAGAATCCACGAAAAAGGACCGAGTTCCCAAGGTAGGATTTCAACGTGGAAATTTCGCGTGCATGTACTGCAAAGGGGGACACAAAGCGTCGGCATGCACCAAGTATGGGACACCTCAGGAGCGAGCGAAGTATTTACGGGAACATAAATTATGCTTCATTTGCGCATCATCTCAACATGTGACGTCAGAGTGTGGGGGTCGCGTGTGTTTTATATGTCAGGGCAAGCATCATACCTCATGCTGCTTCAAGCAAGCCCAGGCTTCGACGTCGATCGCATTCAAGAAGGGAAAGAGTCCACCATCAAGGAACACGAAGGAAAATCGGACTTATACTTCCCAACCGAACCCGAAGTCGGTGACCACAACTCAATTGAGTCGAGGAACGGAAACCCCACCCACAAGGAAAGGAGATCAAGAGTCATCAATGAGTCAGCTCCACTGCAATACCACATGGGAGAGGCGAGAAACATTTCTCCCAATAGGAGAATTAATGGTAATGAATAAGGCAACGCGTAAATTGAAGAAAGTCGCGGTACTTATGGATTCAGGAGCGGAATGTTCATTTATAGATAGCAAGCTGGCACAGGAACTCAATCTGCCAACCTTAGGGACAACCACCCTTCGCGTAAGAACCTTTGGGTCGGACGAAGTACAGGAGTGCATGAGTCGGAAAGTACCTCTGGAGATATGGGATGAAAATGGGGACTCCTTCATGCTGGAACTGCTTACCCATGACATCTTGACAAGTTCCTTGAAAACTCCACCAATAGCAAAGGAGGACAGGGAATTTCTGGAATCATTACCAGTTCCGATTAACCTGATGAAGAAGCAAAACCTAGCTCAACCTCGCGTATTGTTAGGGTGTGACCAAATGTGGCCACTTATTCGACAAGACCAAGCGAATATCCGTCTACCTTCCGGTTTATACCTACTGCCCACGCGAATAGGGCATCTACTAACGGGGCAACTCCATAGCGCACATCAAATGACCCAGGTGTTGAAGGAGAGTGATATGTTACAAGAATGGAACAAGTGCTGGTCTCTCGAAGCTAGCGTTAACATGGTATCGGGGGACGACTTTACAGAGGATCAGGATGAGAAAGCCCTGTGGGAACGATATTGGGCGCTGGAAAGAGACGGAGTAGAAGAATTTACTTCTTCGGAAAAGGACATAAAAGCGCGTATAGATGAAGGAGTATGGAAAAACTTCATAGATACAATAGAAAAAAAGGAAGACGGATACTACGTTCGCTTGCCATGGAAGGAAATCTCTGCTCCATTACCTGACAATCGCGCGATCGCAGTTAAGCGACTAATAAGCGTATGGAATTCTCTACAAAAGGATAAATCGCTTTTGGAAAGGTATAACGACATCTTCCAGGAGCAGAAGCGCTTAGAGATAATTGAAGAAGTCGAAGATGAAAGACAGCCAGTAGAGGGAAAAATCCATTACTTACCTCACCAAGCTGTACTGACCCCTCAAAAAACCACAACTAAGGTGCGAATTGTTTTTGACGCGTCTGCTCATTTCAAGAATTCTCCATCACTAAACGATGCCCTCCATAGGGGACCAGTTATCCTTCCCAAGCTGTATGGCCTTCTTCTACGATTTCGAATAGGTCGCATAGCACTGATTTCCGATGTGGAAAAGGCATTCCTACAAGTGCGCCTTCATCACATCGATAGAGACGCAACGCGTTGTTTATGGTTACGGGATCATACTAGTCCTCCTAATCCCGGCAACCTACAAGTTTATAGATTTACGCGCGTCACTTTTGGAATATTGTCATCACCATTCTTATTAGCGGCTACTACTCACTATCACTTGGACCAGTACCCAAATGACAAAAAGCTGGTAACGGAAATCAAAGAGAACCTCTATGTCGACAACCTGATTCTCACAGTGGATTCTATGAAAGAGGCAGGACGCGTATATAGGAGAACAAAGGCTATCTTCAATGAGTTGCACATGAATCTTAGGGAATTTACTTCCAACAACAAGCAACTTATGGAGACGATAGAAAGAGCAGATAGATCAACGGAGAATAACCCCAAGGTATTAGGAATCAGATGGCATGTGTCAGAGGACCAGTTAATGATAGGTTGCGAAGATGGAGGAAATGAAAAGGTCACTAAACGGACAGTTGCAAGTACAATCGCCTCTATATACGATCCAATGGGGTGGATGTTGCCACTAGTTCACAAGGCAAAGATTTTTCTCCAGTCGTTATGGAACAAAGAAGTCAGCTGGGACACACCACTTCAGGAACAGGAGAAGGTAGACTGGGAATCAATTGTAAGGGAGATGCGGGGATTCCATAAATCGTTACCGCGTTTCCTAGCTGATAGAGGCGCAACGATTCAGCTGATCACCTGTGCAGATGCCAGCACGAACGCATTCGCCGCTTGTACATACGCGCATACACCAAAAGGCACGAACCTGTTGATGGCCAAAGGGAAATTACCGAACTTGAAATCTAAAACTACAGTCCCGAAGCTTGAACTAAACGCGCTGACCTTAGCGATGCGGCTTACGCAATCCGTGGTAGCTCAGATAGAGTCACTGGTGTCCGTTGACAACATCCTAATTTTGACAGATTCCGAAATTGCACTCAGTTGGGTGACAGGAGAGCTTCGACACGATGCAGGTCCTTTCATCAAAAATCGCGTAGCAGAGAATCATAAGATTAGGGAGCATCTGCGGGCAAGAGGATATGATGTAGAGTGGGGTTACATTCCGTCTCAACAAAACCCAGCAGATTGTGCCACCAGAGGGCTTGATAAGTCACAACTTAGCAATCATTTCTGGTGGACAGGTCCCGAATTCCTCAGGACTCCAAGGGAAAAATGGAGAGAGGGATTTAGATCGGTAGATATGAATAGAAACACCGAAAAGAGGAATCTAGATGGCGACCATGAAGACACAGCACTGATGAAAGAAGTCTTCGCGCAAACTACTGCAGAATACAGGGACATATTCCATACTATTAAGTTCTCAGAATTTCCCATTGTTCTGCGCGTAGTGGCATACGTTCTCAGATTTATACGACGCTTGGCAACGAAAAGAAACAGGAAGGGAGAGCGAACAATTTCCATCCCAATATTGTCGAGGGTAAATAGTAATGACGGCGAAGACATCACCATCCCTAGTGGAAACGAAATGGACATCGCGTGTATGATTGTAACAAAACAGCACCAAATGTCGCATATAACTCCGACGATTCTTAAAGCTCTCCAACATCTGAAAATTTACCAGGACGCGTACGGAGTTTTACGTTGCAGAGGAAGACTAGGAAAAAGCGCGTTAGACGAGTCCGCAAAGTATCCCATGCTCGTTCTTCAAAAATCATGGCTAGCGCAACTGATAATCAGAGATTGCCACACCAAGTTTCACTTGGGTGTAAGCCACACAATGGCAAAGGTTCGGGAGAAATACTGGATTCCTAAATTAAGAGCAGAAGTGACAAGAACCATACGTCGATGTGCGGTTTGTCAGAGGTACAACAGCTTACCGTACAAATATCCAGAGCAAGAAGATCTACCGACGCGACGAGTGAACAAGTCAAGACCATTCTCACACGTCGGACTAGACTATTTCGGCCCACTTTCGGTGAGGAGCGAAAACAACACTGGGAAATGCTACGGAGCAATAATAACTTGTCTAGTCACCAGACTGATACATCTGGATCTAGTGTCGGACAATTCTACAATAGCATTTCTACAAATGTTACGACGGTTCTTCGCAAGACGAGGTGCACCACTGACAATCACGAGCGACAATGCCCCTTCGTTCGCGTTAGGAGAGATCATTTTGTCGGAGTGTTTACAACGAATGAAGAATGACCCCATGATTGCGACGGAACTTAGCACACGACATATTAACTGGATCTATATCACTCCCTACGCCCCATGGCAGGGAGGGGTGTATGAGCGCTTAATTCAGTCCATAAAATTAGCGATGCACAAGGCGCTGGGAAAAAGCACTCCGTCCTATGAAGAGCTGCATACAGTGATAATAGAAATCGAAGGGATACTAAACACTCGACCTCTACTCTATGTTGAATCGGACTCTGCCGTAGACCGCGTACTTCGACCAATTGATTTTCTCCAGAACGAATTCGAAATTACCCCCGTGCTGAATATAGAAACAGAAGCGCGTGAGGATGGGGATTATCTCAGCCCAGCAGAGAGACTGACCTTCCATACGAAACTACAGGTCATAAAGGCACTAGAGAGTTCATGTAAACTGACGGAGCAGTTTTGGCATACATGGCAAGCGGAATATCTAACTTCGTTGCGAGAAAAGCACCGTTTAGAAGTAGGTCATAAACGTGGCTCCACCATAACTCCTAAAAAAGGTCAAGTAGTTTTGATATCGGAAGCCCTACAACCGCGACATACATGGAAAATGGGACGAATAAGTGACTTAATCACAAATAAAGAAGGCGTAACGCGAGAAGCAGTAATACTGCTTCCCTCGCGTAGGAAAATTAGAAGACCATTAAACCTTCTCGTTCCTTTAGAATTGGATGAAGACTTTGAAGTTTCAGAGGAACACCAAGCAACAAAGTCAGCCAGATCGGACGACGGAGTAACCAAATCAAAAGACCTTCCTGGAGCGGATCAACCCACGAGTAGACAGAACAGTCGATACAACCTTAGATCACGCAAGGGCATCACGTACGGCGAAAATATGACTACCAACCTTGCCGCTAAGAGTGCTTTGTTCGTGGCGGTTATTTCCGCTTTAGTAATCATTGGCTCAGGCTCCACGGTTATACAAGAACTTTATCACAAACAGGAGGGGAAACGTATTCGTTGCATTGAAGGAGGAGTCGAACTTACGTCCACTGACCAAGGATCGTATGAAATATGTGCAGAAAACTACTGCGAGCATATCAGCTCTCCACGAACTACAGAAGAAGTACGCTTTCCGGCTCATATTATACTTCATGAGCATGACGTTCAGTGGAAATTTCGCGAAAATGGCACGCTAAAAACGATAGAGACCACGTGCTCAAAGGCTCCATTCTGCGATTACATTGACTGTATGCTCTGCTCCGCACTACTGTTCAACCCAGAGTGTTGGCCAGTAGGAGCCATAGTAGCTACAGCTCTACTATTATACCTCCTCCTCACTGGTTGCTATGTTTTTCTTTACGTACCACTAGTTCTAGGAAAACCAGTCCGTGTACTGGCAAATATTGTCCGCTTCCTTTTGCAATGGACGGGTGGATTAATATGGCAGATGCTTCAAAGTACGCGTAGGAGAAGGGCAAGGGATCTAGTAGAGGTACTGGCAATAGTAGTGACCATATTTTTCCTCGCCTCAGCCGTATACGCCTGCCAACAAATTGATGTTTTCTCCCATCGTAGTACGATTTGTGAGAACACCAGTGGGACGGGCACATGCAAAATTCAGGTGTCGGAGATACTGAAAATCAATCCGTTTAAAAGGGAGGCATGCCTGCGATTGCGACGGAACTCCACGACTCTGTACGAAGTTCGCGTTCTTTGGAAGTCTCTTAACCTTTTTTGTGAGCAAGAAACGGATTTTTTCACTAGAGATACAGAATATAAGGTGGTGAGCAGCAAGAGATGTGCACACAAAGGCTCCTGCACATCCGGAAAGTGTGCTGACATAAACGGCTCAACACTGGTTCAGGAATTGGCAATAGGAAACTCATACCCAGGCACTACATACTGCGTAACGTCCTGCGGCGGATTAGGCTGTGATTGTTTTTGGCCTGGCTCCGCATGCCTATTCTATCGCGTATATGCCGTTCCCACATCGGATCGGATTTATGAGGTTTTCCACTGTACCCAGTGGAAAGAAGCAGCGAAGTTGGAAATCACAAAATTCGGCTATAGAACAAATAAAAGGGATAGACGAGTTGTGGAAATGCGACCAAATATACCCGTTACGGAGCAGCCCTTCACCTTCACGCTTAGCTCGATTACAGTACCACCCACACCACTTCTGAATACACCTTTTATCACAGATGGTAATAGAACTTCGCTTTGGGAACCAGGTCTAACACCAACGCTATTGTGTGAAACTCCTGAAGCAGCTTTGAACCTTAGCTGCGAAAGACGAGAAGATTGCACGTGTTATCCAGCGGAAACACAGGTGAATTGCCAATGCAGGGAGATCAATATCGACGCGTGGTGTGAAAATCTCCAACACCGGCTCCCGGTGATAACTTCTTCAGTCTCCTTCCGGCAGGATCCGAACAAAGGAGTTCGAGCAACTATAGCTGCAAGAACGACTTCGGAGATCATTTTAACAGTCCAGGATGAGATTGAAACAGCCATCATGGTAGATGAAGCTATTTGCACGATATCGGACGCACCTTTAACGGGATGCTACAAGTGTGCAAAAGGGGCAGAAGCTAACGTAACGTGCAAGTCCTCGAAGCCGACCCAGGCAGAAATTTTGTGTGGAGATTTGAGTTTTACTGTACAATGTGACGAACACGGTATCAGTTCTCTAATAAGATTCGCATTCGCTGAAGCGCGTGTAGGATTGACATGTACTCTATCATGTGGAAAAGTAACCACGACTTTCCAACTTGAAGGAGTTCTAAAATTTACACAGTCGGTACATACGCTTATGTCCGCCTGGCTCAAGGGAGACGGAGAACAATTAAGCGAGTTCCAATGGCCCGATATAGCCCATATCGTGAGCGTTTTTGGGCAATGGTATAAAACACTAGCGTTAGCCTCCACAACAGCACTATTGATGCTAGCATTCACATATATCTTCCTGGCTACGTTTGGTGGTAAAATACTGAGTCTTACATTTCGCTTTTTTCTACGCTTGTTTCGAATGGCCTTTCGAGCATGCTGCAGCCTTCCTTTGTACTTTATTAAACGTACAACAGCCTCACATGGGAAAACGCTTTGAAGATTCTCACCTTCTCCCAACAACTTCACGTAGTTCACAAGTAGATGCCACCCGCACGAAAAAACTGCATAGTATTTTTAGAAATTTTTGTCAAATTTATTTCCTTTATATCACGATCGCGTGTTTCAGCATGGCCTTTAACGAGATGAACGATATGGAGTACTATACGCGTCTGATGACCAACCCCCATCAAAGCTGGTCATCAGTACAACAAGATCTGGATAATACACAAGAACTACTCAGAATCGAGTTGAAGGTAGCCGACGCTTACAAAGAACAGTGGAACTGGACACGTAATGACGAGACCTTTGTACTGGCCACACCAGCAGCCAAATTCATAATACTCTCGAAGCTGCTCCATAAAATACACGCGTCGAAGCACGATATATCGCGTTTGGGAGTTAGAGTGGTCAGCACGCAGATTTTCTATAGAAGCCTCGGAGACGACTCAACAGAAAGAACGTTCGAGAAAGAGGTTCAGGAAAACCTGAAAACCATGGATATCTACACCAAACAGCTCTCGAGTCTCATGAAGGAAATAGAGACATACATGAAGCGCGCAGAGAATGACTTTCGAACGGGACCTTGTTCCACAAACGCGGAGCAGATTAACGCGTTGTTTCGACGAGCGTTTGAAACCCTAACCATGGAAGACAAGGATAAGACAGGTCAAAAAATTATCGAATTGCAAACTCAGCTAAACATACAGTCTGAGGAATTAGCGCGTATGAAGGAAGAACTAGCCAAAAGGCCGACATCAGAGCCAACTCAGGCACCGGTCCCAATGGAAGTAGAGATGACGGATAATGAGTACTTCGACCGAATGATCAACGAAGTAAACGAAGTCGAGCAGCCTCCTGAATTAGTATCCGAAGAATCGGATGAAGACGAACGAAAACAAGCGGAAGTTCACATGATTGTTCGCGTAGAAGATCAAGAACAAAGTGACAGGGTAGTCGTTCGCGTTGATGAATCACAACAGGAGGAAAAAGAAGCGGTAGTCCGCGTCGAACAGGTTGGACACCAGGAAAGAGTGGTTCGCGTTGAGGACGAAGAGCACGGACGTAGAACGAAGAGAGAAGAACGAGAAGACTCAGAAATCGAAGAACTTAAAAATCAATGTCGCTATCTGGAACAGAAAGTGGACTTCATGCACGACGTGGTCCGCAAATTCCCGTATAGGAAAAAGGAATTTGTATCACCAGGGATGAGGAAGGACAGATCCTGCGCCTTTTGCAAGGCCGAAGGGCAACACTTTTCGGACTCGTGTCCACACTACGTAGACGGTGACGAACGTTATGAGATGATGATCGATGAAGGAGTATGCAGATACTGCTTAGAACGTGATAAATGTAACTACGATAACACTTGTCCTTATGCTTACAAGGAGTGTTTTTACTGCAGTCGCTTAGAAGGCACCCCATTCGAGTACATGATCATAAAAGACGGTCACCACACAGCCCTCTGCAATATCCCCAATAGAAAACATGAAGCTCGCACCGAGCTAGACAAGGCAAGAGAAGAGCTCAGAGAGGTCATGACACAATTAGCGCGTAGACAGATAGAGCAAGGTAAACGCCAGGACTACAGCACACGTGCGAGAAAGGAAAGGGATGAGGAAGCAGAAAGACGACCAAGAGACTACTAACCATTTGGCGGGGGGAGTGACGACAACGTCGTCTGTGAGTATGCTAACTGTAATGGTTTGTTCATTTACTCATCTTTTCGTTATTTCATTATAATATCTTTAGTGTAGGATGAGCATATGATTTATCGATTTCATGACCATTTTCCTCTAGGCTCGACGCCCGAAAGAATGTAAGCATAAGGCGGCGGAGGAGTTAGATCGTTTGATAAGGAGCTGCGCATGTGAACCGTATATAAGCATGAGGATGGAACGTCGAGGGTTGTTGTTGGCTCAGAACGACGGCAGCTTCAATCGAGGACCGTCTCCTCCGCGTTGACTGTATTCCTTCCAAGTTATCGAGCGCGTAGACCAGTTACTTCGGCTGATATTCTTTGTGTATTCGCTGTTTAACCTTTTTCTATATCCGGCAGTTAACATTGGACGATTTGGATTAGTTTAGTGAGTTCATATAAAGGTTAATAAATATTAGTTTAATCAAGTTGATTCACTTCTTGTCTTAACCCGCGTGGCACGTATAGGAAAAAGGCGAGCGAGATCGAGTAGAAGTGAACATACGCAGTTATCATCAAAACTCTGGCTCGACTCTTCACGCGCTACCTGTCGGAATGCAAGGTACCCACTCCGTGGAAAACCAGCAGGACCGTGTTGCTGTACAAGAAGGGAGACTTGGACGACATTGGCAACTATCGCCCAATCTGCCTGCTGTCTGTAATCTACAAGCTATTCACTCGAGTCATCCTTAACAGGATCGGCAGAATACTAGATGAAGGACAGCCATGCGAGCAAGCAGGGTTCCGAAGAGGGTTCAGCACGATCGACCATATCCACACGGTTACGAGACTCATTGAAGTTTCACGGGAGTACAAGATGCCGCTTTGTCTCACATTCATCGACTTGAAGAAGGCCTTCGACTCTGTGGAGACAGAAGCGGTCATCGAAGCCTTGGGCAACCAGGGCGTCCCTACTCAGTACATCAAGATTCTTCGTGAGCTCTACAGCAACTTTACGACCAGAATCACCATTCTACAAGGAGGTCATCATCGACGTCAAGAGAGGGGTCCGACAGGGCGACACCATCTCGCCCAAACTCTTCAGCGCCGCTCTCGAGAACGTCATGCGTCAACTGGAATGGGAAGACATGGGAGTGAAGGTCGACGGCCGGCAACTACACCACCTTCGTTTTGCTGACGACATCGTTCTTATAACGCCGAACATCGAGCAAGCGGAGCGAATGCTGGCTGATTTCGACTGCGCCTGTGGTAAGGTCGGTCTCTACAGCTGAACCTAACGAAGACGATGTTATGAGAAACGGATTGGTTCCTGATGCCCCATTCACGCTCAACGGAACGAACATCACCGAATGCTCCAGCTACGTGTACCTAGGTCGGGAAATCAATATGATGAACGATCTAGCTCCAGAGCTGAGCAGGAGGAAACGAGCGGCATGGGGAGCATTCAAGAACATCGAGGGAGTAGTGAAGAAGACGAAGAACATCCGGCTCCGTGCCCACCTCTTCGATTCCGCTGTCCTTCCTGCCCTAACCTACGCCTCAGAGACTTGGACTCTGCGCAGGCAGGACGAGCATGCGGTCAGCGTTATCCAACGCGCTGTCGAGAGGACGATGCTAGGAGTAACCCTATACACGCAAGTGCAGAGGGGAATCCGGAGTTCCGAACTACGCCAACGATCGAAGATCAGGGACGCTGCCGTTTTCGCCAAGGAATCGAAGATAAGGTGGGCCGGACACGTCATGCGATTTTGCGATGACCGTTGGACCAGAGCGGTTACCGACTGGATCCCTCGGGACGTCAAACGAACACCTGGACGACCGCCGGCCCGATGGTCAGACTTCTTCACGAAAGCTCTGAACGAAAGGAATGAAGGACTTCGTGTCCCTCGAGCGAGGAGGATCCACTGGACAACTCTAGCACGCGACAGGGACGAATGGAGACGTTGCTGGCGCCCGCTCGAGCAAATCGATGATCAACGGGACGACAGGTGATACAGGTGAAGAGAAATGATGGTTTTTATTGGTATTGACGAGCTACGAGAAATTACTGCTTTATCATCTGATTTCCTTAATACCATCAGTAAATCCATTGAAAGCAGTATGTTACTCAATACAACAGCCCGGCTATACTCAATTTCACTGAAGCCTATGTTGACATGCGCGCGAGAGCGGGCGGAGCAAAAGTTGTTAAATATAACAACGATAAACAGTGCGAGCAGCTGTCTGGGATTTTTTGATTATCTACATGCCTTGAAATGCAATTTATTTGTTGGACCATTTGTATAGAGGAAGGTGATTTACTAACTTGATGTTTATCAGTAGAATCATGGGGATCAAATGGTGCGATATTACAGGAGAAACTGAAGAAACCGTCAAAATCCCGAAATCTCGGGCGGATCTCTACTTTGTGTGTTGGCTTTGGAAGACTTTACGGCAGCGAAACTAGCCTTTTTAAATAGTAAGGGTGTTCCCGAATGCAACACAACGACAGGATTACAAGATACGGGCCTTCCCTCTCCCTTCCCCCTCCAAACAATTTCTAATGTTGCCAATGCAGTTATCATTGTGGAGCTAGGTCACTCATCATGTTGGCTTTATGCCTAGGTACTCGTAGCTGGAGCTTTTCGAGATGTTCGCTCCGGAGAAGGGGTATCATGAACCAGAAAATTTTTCAATGACATCACCTTCGTTAGATTCAGCTACAAAACGACATTTTCATACAAGAAACTCATTCACCATTCGTACCCTACTCAATGTTTGTTGTTAGAAGCCCAGCGTCGTCGCCAAAGCTAAGGTGATGTAATTAAGGGCTTTCGACTTAGAATCATCTACAAATTTTTCGGAGACTCGCTTTGTTAAATGCTTCGATAAGGGCTCTAAGATGAAGCTGTGTTACAAATATGCACAAATTTGTTATTTCTTTGCTTGTAAACTAATGAGCGCCGCTTTACGCAACCCCTTCTTCCAATACGTGCTAGGGAATCAGGCCCTCTTCATGTAACCTCTCAACGGACACGGTCGGGTGCTGTATAAGAAACTCCAGGATTATTCCAAAGCTCAAAATAAGTAAATTTGGAATTTGAGAAATTGCCATTCGTGTGACTGAACCAGAGTCGGGTAAAATTTTTGCCTCGTGCGTCTTTCCGACTGTCACCTTGTTTCTCAGCTTTTCCTTTCTTAGATTACCTTAGTGCTTTCATGGAGTTTACGTGAATAGACAGCGGGTTAGAAATGAAATCATAGGGGGGCAGTGGGGCAGGGATGAAGAGATTACCATGAGAAACGTCTCAGAACCGAAGAAATGGAACCCTTCTTTGCCTGTTGATTTCGATGCAACTCTCATCAAGAGCCTTCCTCAACGTTAAAGCTCTCTCTCCCTGCTTAATGCTAGTATCAGACCGCGAGGGCTAGTACTACCACCTGTAGACAGGGGATGCAAAGCAGATTGAAAACGCACGAGGAATTCCTCGACCATCGCTCTCTGCTGCGCGAGAGTAGAGCCGATAACTGAGCACAGACTGCTCGCGGGCAGGGTGAATAACGGTCGAGGATTTCCTCGACCATAGCTCTCTACCATGCGAGAGTAGTGCCGAGAGTGAACATCCGCGCGGAGAGCACAGACGGCACGCCCATGGCGAGTGTGAATGTCCGCGCGAGAGATCGTGTCTGATCGGGCAGAGAATCCTCGACGTGCCGTTGAGGAATCCTCAAGCGATATTCACCCTGCTCGCGGGTGGCGAGAATGAATATCCGCGCTTGACGGGTGGCGAGAGTGAATGTCCGCGCGCGAGAACGTAAAGGATGGGGCGAAAATCCTCGACGTGCCGTTGAGGAATCCTCAAGCAGTATTCACCCTGTTGCAAAGGCGACCAGCTTGAGTGTGGACCGTTGCGGGCACACGGTTACCTGCAAAGCACTCATTGTCCCGCATCCTTGGGAGGCTTGCGCGCCTTTTGACTAGGTTACACTCATAATGATACTTCTGTGGAATTGTAGGTGGAAGCATTAATATGGTGAGCAGTGTATTTCCCTCCCTCCTAGTTCCGGCCTTGTCGTAGATTCCTCCATCAATCACTTCATTATATAAACCACAAGTTTGGTGTGTCGGTTTGTCGGTGTGTGTATGCGTGTGTGTCGTTCTGTCCGTCCGGACCGACCGCTAACAGAACGGAGGAGCTCGAATGGCTACGCATCGTGATGTTGTTTTCATGATTTTCATCATTAATCACAATCACGAGAGTACATCGTTTTCAGGAATACGGTTCGATAAGTTGTTGAGGTATATATTATCGCAACGTGGTTGCGATAATGCCCCAAGGCTATACATATAAACACATACATAGTACACCTTCAGTCATTTTACAGGTGCTGCAGTGGCAGGGGAGACCAGTGGGGGGGGGGGGGGGGGGTAGTAGGGGAAGATAAGGTGGAAGAAAGAAAGAACGGCAAGCATCGTAGGGAAGGAAACGTCCGGCGGCTGCCGGGGGACCAATATGGTAGTAAAATAAAGAAGGATTTTCAGGGTAGCTGTTAGCTCACTGGAACAGTTAGGCCTTGGGGAAGTTGTTATCCACTCAGTTAATTGATTCTGCAGTTGGAGCTTTCTCGAAAAGCATCTTGAAGTGCTACTTTTTAGGTACTTTGCAGGTATAAATGTCATTGTCGTCCACGACTTC